CTCCGCGGAACTTGCCGACGCCGGTTTCGGTTCCCCCGGGCGGCAGTAGGGAAAGCCTCGCGGGCCGCCCAGCGCCGGCACCGGGGCCCGGCCGATTGCTCGCTGCAGCGGGCGCCCGGCGACACCCCGAGTCCGGTCTCGCACCGGGCGCGGCCGCGGGCTGCTGCGGAGCAGAGCTGTCGCCTTGCCCCGGGGCTTAAAGGCAGGGCCCGGCTGTCACGCGCCAGAGCGGATGGGAGTTTCCTTCCTGCCTTTCGGGAACAGGGTGCGGGGTGATGCGGGCTGTCCTTTTGACGTCCTCGGTTTCACAGTTTGAAACGCAAGTCAGTCTCCAGCTCATGACATCAGCAAAGGGATCGAGAGCCTGGGCGGCGCCGGGAGACCGCGGTCCCGCGCCTGGAAGGTGTAAGGGTGGGTCGCGGGTCCTCTGGGATCCTCCTCTGGGTTCCGGGACAGAGAGGACAAGGGACAACCCGGGGGTGGGGGGGGTCACGAAGTCGGAATAGTCCTGCAATATTTGAATTCTTAAGGCACAAAGCGGCTGTCACCGGGGGCTGTCATAGCCCGGCAGCAATTGCAGACTTGCAGCGCTTGCTGTCTCCAGCCCATTAGACATGCCTACCGGTGCCTGCAAAGGCATTCCTTGTCTGGGAACTATTTAGAAAACATGAAGAAAAAGATACTGTCTTTAGTAAAAATAAAGGAAATCCGCTTCGAGCCGCCAGAGTAGAAGCTAGAACGTTAAAAATTAACAGCGGAAACAGGAAACACTCCTCTCTGCGTAAACAGCGCCTCGCAATTTCAGTGTGAACTTTGGGAGGACGGGAGGTGTTTGCAAGGAGTCGGCTCTCAGACCCTGGCCCGGGACCTGCTGCCAAACGTGCCGCTTGCTTCTCTCGCCCCTGCGCTGGGCGGGCAGCCCCGCCGCACGGGCAGATCCAGGAGCGCCGGGTCTCCGAGCAGCAGTGCGGCGGTTCAGGTCGGAACTGCAGGGGTCCGCGCGGGAGGGAGGGAGGGAGCCGCAGGACTGGTCGGTGAGCTTCGGGAGGTAACAACGCAGCCGTGTGACCGGGGGATACCAACAGGGCATCCAGGATCGGTGCTAACAGGCAGACTCGGCCGCAAGCCGCGGACCTGCAAGGAGCCATTCTCTCCAAGCTTTGCCTAAATCTCGGTCTTTGAAAGTCTCGGAAAGATTCGCTTGGGCTGATCACTAGAAATTCCTGGCGACAGAATCGTCGTGGGGTAGATGGTATGCGGAGAGGAATGACAGAAGATACATCTCTGGCAGCTGCGGGGGGAAAAGGAAGATGTCCCCATTTTACCTTGAAGTTTGTCTGTCGCTCTGCCTTTGAATTTTAAACAACAGAGTCTCAATGGCTCATTCATTGCTAAAGAGCCGAAGAAAAGCTCCTTTGAACCAAGTCCTCTAAAAACGATCGCCGTCTTTTTCCCGGCCCCTTGGCACGGGAATGAAAGAAGCTTCTTGCTAACATCCATCCTCTTACACAACCGTAAAGACTCCTTGTAGTTTGTCTTGGACCTGCTCTACGTTGATACTGGTATTGGCCTATTGAAAGATAATTAAATGGTTGCTCTAAGCTATGCCTCTCGCGTGAGAAGACTGAACGCTGCTTGTCACACACACACGCACCCCTCGACATTGTCAAACCCGTGGATCAAGAGAGGAGTTCACTCCCAAGCTACATTCTGCATGGACACAAGAGAAAGCCTGGAGCCGCCGTCCCCGGAACTCAAATCGAGTATTAGACCAACAGACAATGAAAACGGCTATTCCCAGGGACACAAAACTAGCCAGCCCAACATTTTGCCCGTGGACAAGGCAGGTTGGGTTGTAAACATGATTACACCGCAAATACAGTTTTATGGAGCACGTAATTGCCTTCCTTCCCTGATAGAGAGAACTAATCTTTAAGAAACTTGAGTACACGAAGCTCCTTGCTGTATGACTAAGTAAACTTCTATTGCGCCTTCACAGGCAATGAAGAGTCATTTAAAGATGTACCTACAGCTCTCCTCAAGCCTATGTACAAAGAACCACCTTTGGAAACCAGGAGGACGATTTAGCACCTCTGCCCGTTGAACGCCAAGAGTCTATCTTGGATTATTTTCTCCAAATAAAGTCAGTGTTTCCCCGCGCCGCAATACCATCTGCACGCGGCAAAAGGTTTTCTAGAGAAGAACAAACATCTGGAAGGACTCTATACCCGTGCAAGCCCGGCGTTTCGAGGTGGTTATCTTACTTAGACGGGCAGGGTGAAGGGAAGTCGAATGGACTGCAGCAATTTAATAAATCTTGAAAGGAACTATCCAACTCACATTTCGTTGCGCTGATCCTTCACCCAAACGTCGTAAATATCAATATTAGCTGTTTTTATTGCAGCATTTGACATTATTGATCTAGTTCCAAAATAAACAAGCTTAGTTTGATTAATGTGCAATCTCGTGCTTTAGGTTCAATGTTGGGCTTTGTGCGAATTAATTCATATTTTATGTAGTGCAGGGAATCATGCCAAAATACACAGTTCAGTCGCATGGAGACTTATCTTTATGTTTTAAAAAATATTTTCTTCCATTAATGTTTTTAAAAAGCAATCCGGAGAAGGAGAGACAGAATCTTGTACTTGCCACCATATAGTTACATTCTTTTCACCACTACTATTTTCTGTGGGCAAGGCTTTGACAGAAATGAAGGAAAACAAATGCTCTTTATAAAAAGTAGAGACTACCCAGCTTTTTAATTCCCAAGACCTATTCAAGGTAAAACAAGTAAGGCACAATACTTGTTTAAGATATATGCATCTGAAATAAATGGACATACCATTGTGTGTTAATTTCCACCTGTAAGACCCACTGTTTACCCTTTATACCCACAAGCAGGATGTCCATGAGAGCAAACAAATTATTTGTCCTTTGATATCATAGGATCGACAAAGCTCATTTGCTATTTTTCAATGAAGTATCCCCTTTATTTGTTTATTTCTTTGATCAACTATAAATGAAAAGTTTTTCGTATATATAAAAGTGAACTTTTAACTGCTGAAATTGAACTGTACATGTTTACTACAGAAAAAATATCAACTCTTGTTTAACAAGACATTATACATCAATAAGCAACGACCTTGTGGAGGATTTGCAGTTATCTGATCTATAAAAACAAGCAGGACAAATAACAGCAATTTATATGCAAAAGTAATGATTTAATGACTATAAGCAAGACAAAGCAATAGAATTGTGCTTCTTTTGCAGACCGGAGACAATGAAATGTTTAACTACAATTTTCCCGTACAAACATGAAACAATATCCATATAGTATAAACACCCTCACAAATGTATAAATGATGGGTGATGAACACACACGAAGTTCGACCAAAGCAAACCACAAACTGAAAAGTGATTGGGGGCTGTTCCTATCTTGTTGAAAGTGGTCTTTCTTTCTAGTTAAAAAATAATACCTTTAGAAGCCTCTAATAAAATGCTCCTATTTGCAGGCCCTTAAAGAGGAGGCATTCTCCACAAATTATTGGAAATATTAAAGTACCTGTTATATTTAATGAAGTTAGTACAGTACCATATACATATGTATTAAAACAAAATTTAGATAAAATGCCTTCATCCAGCGACTTGCTGGTTTCTTAAAATTTATACCAAATATTTTATGGCTTCTATAATGATTCCATGTGCTTTTAAAACACAATCCCATCACATCAAATAAGAAAACTGTAATCAAACAGGTCAATTACCTTCTTGTCCCTTAGTTTTCTTCTTCACTTCAGCATTTAACCAAACAAATTAATATCCTCGTGTAAAAGTAAAAATATATCCCTTGAAACAAGACAAAGCCAGTAAAATCCTTCTAAGATTGCCAGATTAACTAGGACTTAAGTTTGCTCTCCCAATACTGTAGCTGTCACAGGAGAAGTGTCTTCTGCAGTATCAGCAAAGCTCAAACAGGAGGCATCTGCAAGGGTCGAACCGGTTTGGAAAGTTAACAACCTTATCATGAGTGCATGAAACACAATATTTTCTTTATAGTATTTATAAATATATCATACAATACTGTTTCCTGTTATGTCATATACCAATATGGCATTGTACAATAAGCATAATGCCATCTGATTCTTACAAAAGCGAATCATTTAGACAAGTCAGTAAATAAAACGGTAATACCCGCTTTTAGGCATACAGATTGTAAAACTGAAGTTTAGGTTCCTTTTGATCAGTTCTGCGCAGCAACAGAGAAGTAAGGATGCAACATAAGAATCAAAATGGCTAATACGCAAAATTGTTATTCACAGTGACATGGCTACATATATGCATTGTTTTATGCATATCCTTTCCGTTTTGTTGAATTCCAAGATGAAAAAGCACTTGCTTTCGACAGGTTCACAAAACAGCATCATAACAATAACAATTGAAGAGAATGTAATATAGGAGTTAGTCTGGATTAACAAACTATGCCCCAATGTTTATATCCACTTCTGGAGACTTCCGAGGCACTCGGAACACATCAGAGTTGCTTGCTTCCCAGTCCTCTGGGGACAATTCTTTATGGAAAAATCTGTCATTTCAGATAACGTCCATACGAATGTCATTTAGTCCCTCTTTTATAGCCAAGGTCGGTGGTCACTACAAAAGAAAGCGATTTGGACGATAGTCACATGAATTTGCATCTATAAAGCTGTAATGGCATGAAGAGATCTATATAAATCAGGGTTCTTTTTCGGGAGTCTCACTGAACGTGTCAACCAGAGGAAGTTGCTGATGAGCCATTTATTGATGTTTTCCGTGCTCTGTTGGTTAAGGAGGGCTGATGGTTACTGCTGGGGCTGCTGCTGGTTCCATTCATAGTACTAGAGATATGAGGAAATTGAGGATGGGGAGACTGCACCGGAGTGCTGGGGCTAGGCAAACAGGAGGACGTGGAGGGGATGCCTCCTGCTGGGCTGCTTGCCTTGTCACTCCCAGAGTCACTTTCTAGTTCCCCGCTATTATTTAAGCCTTCTCTCTGGTGGCTGATCTTCATTCTTTTACAAGTAGGTCGAACTCGATACTTCAGAGGAAGAGGTCCATTCTGCACAGCAAAGAAAACACACTGTAAGCACTCTTTGAACCACGAACGATTACAGCAGGAGAGGAGAAGATACAGGAGGTATTTACCCTTCTCCAAGTATAAATGTAAGCAATGTCCATTAGCGTATAGTAGTCCTTCAAGGGCTCCTCTTCATACATCACATCGATCTATGAAAGACATTCATCTTTGGATTAATAAGTATCAGGAAAAAAAAATAATTCGAAGCAGGCAGCTTTTCTTTAGAGTGAAAATGATCTGAAAGCAATATTGTCAGAGACTTAAAATATTGATGCTAAAGCTGCAGTGCAAGGAAGAACTCTTCCTTGATGACAAACAAATATCACAATTACTTTTTTTCTTTTAAATAACCTTTTCTGAAGAACAACTTCCTGATACCTCAATACTTGCAGAGGGCAGTACTAAAATTCAAAGGAATACAACAAAAACAAAAAGCTTCTGTGAGACTTCAAAATATTTTCTTATGCCTACCAAAACATGACACACTGCACACCCTACTCTGTGTAGTCCTCTGTACACTCTCCTGCCCCCTCTCACTGGGACCACTAGAGTCTTGCACCTCATGGGGCTCAGGTGCCTCTTCCTAGGTTTGCCTGGCTCTACAACTTAGGCATGCCTGGCCCTATGTACCTGTCCCTACAACTGAGTTACCCACCAGGGGCTAAGGCTATACGGTGC